TGTGTGTGTGTGTGTGTGTGTGTGGTTTCCTTGCCTGTTTGGGAAGGGGCTTGTTCAGGAAAAGCATGTGGCTTATGTAGCGTTCTCAAATGAAACGATACATGAGAACAGTTATAATTGTATCTGTGTGTGCTAAAAGTACATCCTTCATTAAGATAGTAACTGTTTATTGAGCATCGTTTGTGAGCGTGTGTTTAGTGGATGTACATCAAGGTCGTTTCCTGTGCTTAAATGACCTGAATACAGAGGCCTGTGTTCAGGCAGCCGTATCAGTGTAGGAAGCAGCAGCCAGTTGACCTGTATTTCCACATTAAATTAGCTCTTGTTAATCTAACTAGCTCAGACATTCGAGGAAATCATGAGGGGCTTTCCTTTTTATTCGCCACATTTTCTAGTCAGACTTAGGGACTGACTGTTTCATTTCTGCGTGACGTGTTAGGGTGCATCGCTGCCAAAAAGGGATGTGTGGTTTCCCGTTAATAAAGATATTTTTGTTGTGTTGGTCTTAACTTCCTTGCAGCCATTCATAATTCCTAACAGTTTGATCACTTGACATATAGCCCGACTGTGGTCTGTTTAAAAGCATGTTGCAGAAGTGGCACCAGCTTGTCTAAATGACCCTAAGGGGCATACAAGGAGGGGGGCGAAAACGCCACTGGAACTGAGTAGGGAGGAGAGTGAGGTGGGTCAGAACAATTTTGGTGTTGGGTCAGCTCACCCCTCAGTACAAACTGAACCCTTTCTCTACACATGAGCTCCAACGTGGCTGGATTAGGGGGATTATTCACAAAGTAGTAAAGAAAAGAAGCAAATGCATGTAAGAAAAAATTAAAAGTGTACAGAAAAATGTACTGGGTTTTGTCCCCTAAACAATTACCTCTTTCTTCTCAGGATCGTTTTCTCTACACCGTTTGCAGTGTTGACGTACTTCCTGATCTGGTACGTGCCTCCATTTGAGCAGGGGAAGGTCATCTGGTACCTGATCTTTTACTGCCTCTTCCAGTCAATGCAGACGGTCAGTACTCCATGTTGACACCGCACATTGCTTTGTTCCTCACTTCTGCTGCCCATATATCTAACTGTTTGTATGTCCACAGTGCTTCCATGTGCCATATTCAGCCCTCACCATGTTCATCAGCAGCAACCAGAAAGAGAGGGATTCTGCCACTGCCTATCGTACGTCGGACTTCCTGTGCGATCCACATGAGTTTCACATATATGTTGCCATTCATGCTCTGATGCTACGTCCCTGTGTTGCCCTCAGGTATGATGGTGGAGGTGCTGGGTACAGTACTGGGCACCGCGATCCAGGGGCAGATCGTGGGCGGTGCCTCAGATTGTCCCACTGAGCTCAACGTCACTGATGGCAGAAACTCATCCAACCTGTCCGCTGCCAAAAACAACCTGTCTACTGTTTTACTGGATAACACGGTGTGATTCCTCTGCATGACATCAGATAAAAGATAATATTATCAGCTATTTGTTCCAGTGAGTGTTAATCCAAGCTAACGTTGTCTTTTCTGTCCTCAGAAACAATCTTACTTGGTGGCTTCAGGAGTCGTCTCCATCATATATGTCCTCTGTGCTGTCATCTTGTTTCTGGGTGTGAAGGAGAAAAAAGGTATGAATCTACTAGAAAATAAGTTATGTGTTTGATGACAGTGTGAAATACAGTATTTACAAAAGAGGTGTTGACTCAGATCTTCAGCTTCTGCAAAAAGAAAAACATGACTGTACAACTTGGATTTGAACACCAGTTAGTCAATTAGACTTGCACTGAATCATATCTTAGTGGGAAAACCCTCACAAAAATTCTGTTATGTTTAAAAATGTGTGCAGGACAATTTAGGTTTACATTTCCTTGACACCTCAAATTGCATGGTCTGGATTTGAAACTCAAGCCAACATTCTGACTGTTCAAGAAAATACCAGAAGATTATCTTTCATCACACTGGAGTTACTGCGCATTACATTTTGGATTTTCAGTTGGCTTATCTTCTCCCCTTTGTTGTGTTCTAGAGAGCGGTTTTAAAAAATCAAACCTGACCTTCCGCCAGGGCCTGTGGATGGTGATGAGCCACGGACCGTACGTCAAACTGGTCATCGGCTTCCTCTTCACCTCTCTGGCCTTCATGGTAATGTTGTGTTTCATTATCTGGCTCTTATTGGATTTGGAGATTATTATTGAATGTCAAGGAATAATTCAACATTTCGGGAAATGTTTTATTTGCATATTTCTTATGCAGTTAGCTGAGTATGTTCATTCCACTCATGTCTGTGGATTAAATAGGAAGCTGTGTGTGAAGAATCAGGGAAACTGATAGTCAAGCAGAAAACCAAACAAGGATATATTTCAAAATGTTGAACTATCCCTTTAACTTTTGCTGTGGTTTATTAAAATATGATGCTTCTTCATTTCTCAGCTGCTGGAAGGAAACTTTGCCCTTTTTCTCACCTACGCCCTTGGACACAGAAAAGATTTCCAGAATATTCTGCTGGTCATCATGGTGAGTGTTTCAGTTCCTCCACTTTCTGCCTCCTTGTAAAAAGTTTTAATCAGTATGAGAGATGTGGAGGATGACAATCTGCAGCAGAAAACCCTGTCTGACAGTCCTTGGTGCACAAATCAAGCTCCCAGTGCTCGTGGGGTTTTCAGCCTTTACTCTGAGGCTGCTCCTCGCATGTGGAGACCCATGGCACGGCGGCTGAATAGGCAGATTTTCAGGGTGAGAGGAGGTGTTGTTCGGGCCCCTGGGAACCTCTCTCCCAGGGGAGAGACGGGCACACAGCGGAGCTTTTGTTGAGATGCCTCCATGGGAACTGCAACCTTTTGGGTCGTGAGTTCCATCCTTCTGCTGCTGCTTTCTGCTCTGGTCTCTCTGCCACTGATTAGGAGTGGAAACATTTCTGGCACCATGTTTCATATTTGGAGCGGTGAGAGTGGAGGGGGCAGGATGGAAATATTTCCTCCGTTGATGCTGCAAAGTTTTCAGGGACAATCTTGTTCTTGTGTGACCATTTCAAACTGGTTGACCAAGTGTGGGCAAAAGGGTCAAAGGTCTCTGTCAGGGTTAAGTCAGGACTCCAACAAAACATATTGTGGCCTTGTCCCTTTTTCTCCATCTCCTCCAGTGGGCACTTCATTCTTTCAGATTCCTACATTTCCCAAAATCCTTAGAAGTGAAGAGTACTTAAACAATATGACACAATATCTAAGTTGGATTGTCGATAGGTCTGTTGATTGACTTTTTGTTTGATTAATGTTAATTATAAGAGATAAATGGTCAGTTATAGTTTTTTTCACGGCTAAGTTTAAAGACAAACCTTTGCTCCTGAGTAAAGATTGTGGTTTACAGTTTTAAAAATATTACGTTGGACTTTTATTTTACTTTTTTTAAAAATTGTATCGCAATAATAATTTACTGACTAAGGGACTTTTCAGTTCTGCTTGATGTGTTAGGCATGTCGATGCCAAAAAGGGACGTATGGTTTCCCGTTGAGACATAGTTTTGTTGCGTTGGTCTTAACTTCCCTGTTTGATAGTTTGACAGTTTGATTGCCTGACATTTAGCCGGATTGGGGTCTGTTTAAAACCATGTTGCAGGAGTGGAGTTCAAACTAGAGGGCATACAAAGTCCAGTAGGGGAAAAAACGTCAATGGGACTTAGTAAGGGGAGAGTGAGGTGGGCCATAACCCACCCTCAACTTCACCTGGACTTGAAACTGAGCCCTTTCTCCTCACATGAGCTCCAACGAGGCTGGATTAGGGGGATTATTCACAGAGTAAAGAGGTCAAGTTTCTCTGCCACCTATCAGAGTTAAATCAGGACTCCCACAAAACATATTGTGGCCTTGTCCCTTGACCAGTGGACAGTTAATTCTTTCACATTCCTACATTTCCCACAATCCTTAATGAAGCTCAGGTAGAGTTTTAATTGGTTTTATAGAATAATGTAATTTTACAGCTAAAAAATGTTTGTATGACACATTACTGGCTGGTTGGTTCCAAAAGCAACATTATCTATAAGATGCAAATAATCTACCAAGGCTGTAATTAATACCAAGGCTTTTTCTTTGTGCTGCTTTAAATCATCCATCAACGTACATAAGGACACAGCCGGGTTGCATGTAACATTACTTATGGAGCAACAATGCTAATAATTCAGTGTCACATTTTTTCTCCAGGTGGCAGGGACTCTGAGCATCCCAGGGTGGCAGTGGTTTTTGATCCGTTTTGGGAAGAAGACAGCAGTTTACTTTGGTATCTCGGTAAGTGAAAATACTTGTTTTTTTATACAATCTTTATCAAAAGAGAACAAGTTGTTATGGAATGACTCACACCTTTCTATTTCTTTCTACAGTGGGCAGTGCCCTTCATGATCCTGATTGTCTGCATCCCGAGCAACCTGATCGTGTCTTACCTGATGTCAGTGGGGGCAGGTGTGAGTGTAGCAGCTGCTTTCCTGCTACCTTGGTAAGAACGGTTCATTCACTGAGCCCTTCCTTAGATCCTGACCATAGACTGTATAGAAAGATGGATGACATGACTGCTCCCAAGAAGTGAAGCCAAAGTGTCTCAATCGCACCTGGTGGCTGGCTGCAGTATATATGGACAGCTGAGACTGACACAATTGGTCAAGCACTGGTTCCAAATGATGTCATTAGTGCCAGATTGCAGTGTTCATATTATATTTTGGCTTCATTTCTGGATAGAGGCAGAAGGTGGAGATGCTTCTTCCATCTTTATATACAGTCTATTTTCCAATTATACATTATCATCATACACTATCATCAGTAGATAGTAGTGCTAATAAATATGTTTCTATTTAAATGTTGCGTTTGTCTGTTCAGGTCGATGCTTCCTGATGTAGTTGATGACTTCAAGGTTAAGAACCCAGATGTTCATGGTCATGAAGCCCTCTTCTACTCCTTCTATGTGTTCTTCATTAAGTTTGCCTCTGGGCTATCCCTGGGTATCTCTACCCTCAGTTTGAAGTAAGTATATTGATCCAATCTTAATTATATCCTCTGTAATGATACTCAGTAGAGCACATACCTCCACCAAGACCCAACAGTCCCCTTAAATTCAATCAAGCTGCACACACTCCGTAAGGTGCACAGGGACATATTCAAATGTAAATAGACACAAGATAAAACATATTTAATAAGGGGCAAAAGTTTGGGGTTCAAAAGGTGCTAAATGTTCCATCGAAGGGTGAGACAGGGACGTGCAGTGCGTGCTGGGACAGAGTAATGGTGGTGGTCCTGACTACTAGAAATATGGGTGGGCAGGTAGAAAGATGAGAGAGCACTTTGATGAACTCCTGCTCATCAGTTCTCTCTCTGCATTTTTTTACAGATTTGCCGGCTACATAACCGGTAGCTGCTCACAACCCGAGACGGTCAGTTTAACCCTGAAGGTGCTGGTCTCTCCCGTGCCTGTGTGTCTTATTGCTGTGGGACTTCTCATATTGAGGACCTACCCTATTGATGAGGAGAGGAGGCAAGGCAACCAGAAACTACTGCAGAAAATCCTGTGAGTGAGGAGTGAAATACATGCACCTAACACACAAGTTCATACTTAATCCAGGATAACTAAACAAGGATAGACTGCTAAATGTTGTGCTGCAGGACTGCAGGCTCCTGTACTGGGGCCGACATGTCTCCCACAAACATCAATGCAAAATCCACAAATGCAAAATCCACAAATGCAAAAGTTACAGCACGACAGCAAAACCCACACAACTGAAAGCGAACAAGTCAGTCACTGCTTAGGATGAGATGCTTTCTATTTGAAGTGTTATGATACAAGTGTGTTCTATCTTTTTAGAAGCTCTAAGCCCCTTTACCTCCTCAATTAGACAAGCGTCTCATTTTAAGCAGCAGCCGTGGCTTTTATTTTATTTTTATCACTTGACTGAAACTAAATATAATTTGTGATATTCAGCTTTAGTTCGGTTTACGGGTGTTGCTTCTCTTCTATTGAGCATACATAGACTACTGGACTCATAAAGAACACTTAATTCTTTTTACTCTACTCTCCCGTTTGCATGTATCACGCACCCTGTCTGCACAAGACAAATCCTTTGTGTGTGACTCTTGGCTGCTCTCTCGCTCTTTAAACAGAGATTCTGAAGCAGATTCTGAGTCTGAATCTTCACCTCTCAGCAACGTGTAGCAGCAGAAGACGAGCCAACAACAACAACCACCACCGTCACTGGTTTGCATGTTTGCACAGACTGTCATGACCACCAGACTAACAGAGAAGTGACCGCAGACACCACTGCTGCACAAACATCATCAGCATCCATCGCCCTCCTCGAGTGGGCCGCACAGGGTAATGTGGCCCTCTAGTGGCCAACTAGTGCAGTGTCATTTTACATGTGAATCAAGTATTTTTCTGTTAATCTCCAGCTGTATCCCAATTACACTGCGTTCACTTTAACTAAAAAACAAACACAATGATCCACAGTGTGTGTTTCAGTTAACATAGAGCCAAAGTATTAAGATTAATTTATGCTTTTGTTGATTTCACTTCTCATTATACTTTTTCTTTGTTTTTTTTTTTCCTTGTTTAGCTGAAACACGACACTGGGATCTGTCCTTATTTAACGTATAAAAGGGTTTACCACTGAACTGGACAGAGATGTGTTACCACCTCATCACATTTGGTGTCTGCATCCTCTAACTGTAGCTCAACTAAATGAAAAGCAGAGGCTCATGGGAGCTGTAGTCGTGTTTTAACTTGGTTGCTCAACAAGTTTTTTTTCCCAAAGATGATCACTTTATTGTTTACTGAGACGGTCCTGCAGCGACGTTACTAACCTCGACCAGTCGTAAGCAGCTCCTTCATTTCTTATGCACATTGCATTGTGGGACTCTTGCACTCCTCGACTTTTTGTCGCACCTCTGTGAATTGGGACACTGCCTGTGATTTGTAATGTTGTTTATGAAGTATTTATTTGCTGGTTTAGAAGATCGGACCTTCGCTCATGCAGACTTGAGGTCACTGAGGTCAGCACTAAGAGAGGCCTCTGAAGGAAGCGCACAGTATCAGCCTTTATTATTAAGTTCATACCATCACTATTCCACTGATATGAGTTGTTTGGAGCCATAACTATTGCTACTCTAATTTCTTGTGATTTCCAATAGGTTATTTAATTGTACTTGAATCTTCCGACAGGGAAATTGCTCCTCGGGACATGAAGTTCTGTGTGAAGATGATCTGAATCACTGCCTTACACACACATACAGTTTGTTTTATGCTTGCCTCAGATTGTTTGGTTTGTTTTTCTTTTGTGCTACTTGATAAGGGGTTTCCCCATCACACTCTCTTTGTGCTTTAACAGTGCAGCTGATCTCCATCAGGTTTAATAGACGTTTCTAAATGTGCTTTTGCATCAAAGTCATCTCCAGAATATGAAGTAATTTCATCCATCATATTTTCACTTCCCAAGGGGAGATTAAATGCTTTATTTATCTATTTATTTGAAGTATCTAAGGGATTTAAATTTTAGCTATGAAAGCACATGTTAATAATAATTTATCAACAGTGGATGGTTATTGATGGAAATGTGATTTTCATGTCCTGTGTATCCCAACATCAAAATGGTGTTTTGCTTTTCTTTTCTGAGAAAATTATCACAAGTTGCCATTATGTGATTAAACAAGCTGCATTTACAGCATCAAAACTCAAACTGCAGCATGAGACCAGATTTTCTATTGTAAAGTCATACAGGAGACATTTGTCCTCATTTGATTTAACCTAAAATCATCTTCTACCCTTACCTGAAATGATTAGGTCATAAATATTTCAAACCTAAATCTTCTATTCAAGCACAGTCTCCTGGTTTTAGGCCTTTGAAATTGCACTAAATAGATTGAAGGAAGCACATGACATCTGTCCTCTGTGTTTATAGACTGCTGTGTGTTTGTAAATACTTTTTCTAAGTATGACTACAATGAGCAATATGCAGTGTGAAATCAGAGAAAAAGATGTGCTGTAAATTTGTTACTTTAAGTTAGTGAATAAAGTTTGTCAAAAAAAACTTTGGTTTCATTGCAGTGTCCTTAAAAACATTTATATTTACTATTTCCGTGTGTGTGTGTGTGTGATCACTTGAGAAATGTTTATTGTCCCCTCAACAATAAGATGAAATAGCCCCTGGCTCACTCTAATGCGCACAGGTGCCAATCATCTTGTTTACGCACGTCATTTACGCACTTTTCTGAGTTCTTTGAATCTGACGTGAAATGTTCGGACAAACAAATGTAGGAGAAATTTAGGATAAAAATACGAACATGTTCTTGCATGTGGCCCATTGTGATTTGAATAAAGACGTTTTCATGCATTACCTGTGAAAAGACTCATTGGTTCCTTCAGGACACAAGAAAACAAACTTGGTCTGTTTGGCACCAGGGTGTCAATTTACCCTCCACTAATTACCTGCAGCCGCGACTGAGCTTTGCTTTTACGCGCAGGCTGAAGGGAGAGGTGCAAACAGAGCAATCTGCTGCGATGAAAACAAAGTGGCATGTCTATATTTTGTGGAGTGTTTTGTCACTTGGCCTCATCTGCTGTGCAGCAGACACATACGGATCTGCATTTACAAGAAGGAAAAGGGGGTTTTCAAACCTGGGTAATCTAAAATCCAAACCAGTTCAAGTGTCAACAGAATTCTCCCTGAAGTTACCTGCCAGCGCTCCTCCATTGACTAAACTCAGTCCACCAACGCGTCTCCCTCCTCTGAAACCTCGATCCATGCGCCCTGCAAAGATCCAATCGGACTTTGCCGCTGTCCCGGACGTCTCTGTGACCTGCTCCACGTCTGACTTGGTCGTGCGAGTCAAACCAGCTTTCTACGGTCTGGGCGCAGAGGCAGACGAGCTGAGATTAGGAGGCACGTGCAGAAGCAACGGGGTTCTCACACCGTACGGTGACCTCCTCTTCACGTATCCGCTGACAGCGTGTGATTCAGTGCGCGAGGTAAGATGTGCCACTTGTTTCCACACTATCTCAACCTCTGTATCTTGAGTCTAGGAGTCACAGCTGTGGTCCCTCATGACAGGCTCCTCGGGGTTACCTGGTCTACAAATTCGTGCTCCATTACGCGCCATCGCCAAAACGGTTCCCAAGCAGAGCGCAAAGGATCGATGTCGACATTGAATGCCGTTATCAGAGGTTGGACCTGTAGCCTCGTTGATTTGAACGTCTTGTGTTTGTGGGGCCATCGCTAACATCCTCCCACACCTGTTCAGGAACCATCACGTGTACCAACTCGCTGTGAAACCCACCTGGCAAACTGCCGTGATGCGTAAAAGGCTGCAAGGGCGACCCAGTGACTTCAAGATCGAGTTGATGGATGGTATGCTTTATAACCTGTGACTGGATCTATGTTCAAACTTCGATGAGTCTCAATCGAGTTGCTTCATGTGAAAAGGGCGTTGGGAGTAGAGGCCCTGGGGGCTACAGCACCCTCTACAGACAAGGGATGTTCCTGCAAGGATAAAAAGTTGACTTTTAAACTTTCTATTGTGAAGTTATACAGGAGACATTTGTCCTTATTTGATTTAACCTAAAGTCATCTTCTACCCTTATCTGAAATGATTAGGTCATACATATTTCAGGTTTTAAAAGTTGACTTTTAAACTTGTATTTCATTTAACTTGCTAAAGAGCAAGAAATTAGCATTTTTATAGCATTTTATACATTTTTTAAACATTCTGTGTATTTTCCATTGAGCAAATGTGCATTCTGTGTGAACTGTCCATAGCTTAACATGGTACTATGGTGCTTTGACATGCATTCAGTAAGTTGGTGTTTCCCCCTGTTGTTGTGTAACATGTTCTAAAACCAGAAATGTTAGTCATTCAAATGAATTGTGGAATCACACACTCTGCACATCTGCTCTGCAGTTAATATGATGGCATTATATAGACATTTGCTCAGCACCTCCAACTCTGAATGATTGTCAGCGTCCCTGTCATGTGATGTAATAACTTTTTATTTCATTCTGAGATTCCTGGAGCACACCAGCCAGGCCCCACGTTTACCAGCTTGGCCAGACAGTAAATGTCCAGGTCTCTGCCCTGCATCTCCCCTTTGGAGGAAAACTGTACATCAGTAGCTGCTATGCAACACCATCCAGTGGCTCCAAATCATTTCTCAAATACACCATCATCAACAATTTTGGGTATGTATGATTTTTGGGGGAATGTCTTGGCTTTGCTCCCATCCTGATTTGTGATAAACTGGGATCCGTGTGATGATGTTGTCATCCATAGTTGTATGCTGGACAGCAAGAGAGACCCGGGGGCCTCTCGGTTCATCTATCGCACAGACAAGACCCTGCAGTTCTCTCTGAAGGCCTTCCACTTTACCCCTGACCCTGACACTGAGGTGAGAGTGTAGAAGCAACGGATTCTCCGCATTCACACTCTTGCAATTGTGGTATAACCCCGTCTCTGCTTTAGGTCAGCATTCACTGTGAATTATCAGTCACATCAGAGGATCCCAGTCCTACACACAAAGCTTGCACCTACAGAGGAAACAGGTGAGTCTATTCTCCTATTATAGTACTAACGTTTCAGTGTTTCCATGTGAACTAAGCATATTTTGTGCCTCTGCGATAAAAGGTGGAAGGCCCTCACTGGTGATGACTCTTTATGTGAATGCTGTGATTCACAGTGCCTGACCTCTGAACCCTGGAAGGCCATGACAGAAGGTCTGTGATAGTCTCCTCCACATAAATTACAGGATATTCATTAACCTTTTCCTACTTGGTTTTATTGAAGATATTTTAGTTGCTATAAGTCTGAGTACTCAACTCAAACATTAAAAATGAATTTTTTTCCCCCAAGGTTCTGCCAGCAGTGAGTCGCTGCTCGTCTCCGATCAGCCGTACGCAACAGAGGAGGGTTTTCTACCACTCAGTCCTTCCCTGTTCAGCGTGAGCAGAGAGGACAAGACCACAGTCAGTCGACAAATTGATGAGCAGCGCAGTCCTGAGTTTGTGTGGGAAAGTGCAGATGTAGTAGAATATGATGATTATGATGATGAAGAAGAGTACACAGAAGAGGAGCTCGGTGAAGTGGAAAGCAGGATAATCTTCGGCCTTACGACAGAACCCAAGTCAGAGAAATCAGTTTTCAGGCATGGTGTTTTAGTGGAGGAGAGGAGCGAGGCTGAAGTGAAGAATGTAAATGAGCCTGAAGTGGACGGCTCAGCGTATGACACGGAGAATGTTTTCGAGGGTGAAGAAGAGCAAGAAATATCTGAGGGAAGAGAAGATGAGACCTCTGATGCTCAGCAGATAATCCATTCGAATCAGAGGGAGGGTGAAGTGCTCCGTCACTGGGCGCAGTTGGAGCAGCTAAGAGTCGGCCTGCAGAGAGAGGTGCAGCCGCCGGTGTCTGATGGTGAGGAGGAAAAGAGGACGTACACTGGTAGAGGTGAAGAGCATGATAGGGCCTATGATGAAGAGAGGAAGAACGATGATGATCTGGCAGATGTAGATGATATGACATGGTATTTCACATGGAGGTAGTATTAGTTCAATAGATTCTCCACTTAAAGACTGTTCTAGTTCTTCATACATTTCATTTCAATAAAAACAAATATGAAAATGCAAATGAATGTTTTCGTCCTAACTTGGGCGCATGAGCCGATACAATTTTTCTTAAAATGTGAGTTTCAAAAGCATGAAATGTTAGACTAAAACAAGATAGGACAAACTGATTTGATTTTGGTCCACTTTAAGTCCAAGTGAACTTTTGTACTAAATCTGAAAAAAAAGTGTTAAGGTATTGGACAGACGGACAACCCAAAAACATATTGCCTACGGCCAGTCGTTGTCACCAGCGTGGAGACAAATAAAGCTCACATCAGTCACTGCAATAATTTAATTTGTCCATAAATCTTTATTCTTTTCATAATAAATGATCATTTTTGACATTACGATGTCTGAAAACACTTTGAAATATATTATAGTCCAACACAGAAATATCCCACTGTTAGAGCAATAATAACTGTAAGAAAGGCAAAGCCTCCATTATCAGTAACTAAAAGCAGCAGAAAACATGCTCCAAATACAAAGCGATTCCAGTATAACTTGCCATGTCCGGCTCTTTCTTTTTGTGATAGCAGTGGTCATGCGCATCGATAGCTTTGAATCATAAAAAAATTAAGTGGGATTTATTTTGAGAAAACTAATTTGTATAGGATTAAGATCAACACAAACAAACTGATTTATATGATGATATAAGGGTTGAACACAACATTGCAAAGAAGACGTTCTGTAGAGACCCTCATCTGAACGTGAACTGAACATTACAGGAAAAATAACTTAAGATAATTAATATTTTTCTTTTTAACAAATATAATTGGTGTGGGAAGTCTTTGGAGGGAAATACAGAAAAGAACTGTATAGCACTGATCCACCAGTACTGGATAATTTACATGTACAACACGTTGCTATATTTACAGATGAGTGCCCAAAAGTCCCATCGTTGCAAGTACTAACCACAAGCTCTGATTCAGCAGGACATAAGTAGTACAATCATTGTTTGGCACTAGAGGGCAGTATATTCCCATTTCTTGCAACAGTAAAACTCAGAATGCCCCCTATAACAAAAGAAAATAAATGATTCTTAGTAAAATGCAAACTGTGTACTTTAAGACCCACACCATTAACAAGACATTCAAATGATTTTCTATAAAATCCAGCATGTTTCGAAATCCAGTTTTTGAAATAAGCATCTGTCCACATCCAGTCTCATGTCTCTCACTCACAAAGATCAACTTGCAGTGAATTGGGTGTTATTATAAGTAAGTACTTCCCGGTCTCCTTCAGTCTTTACAATCATGTCGATGGTGTTTCTCCTGCTTCAGCTGCGCCTGCTGTCCCATTTGTCTTCTCTGCACCATCTGAGGTTGGAGAATAAAGGCAGAAGTAGGTTGATTGAGTGAAGAGGTGATGTGCAGTATAACAACTAATTCAAATTTTAGCCAAGCTAGCAGCATGGCTCTAAGGCTGAATATCATTCGGTTGGTCCTCCTCTCTGACACAAGGTGACTCAACAACTTACCTACTGGACGAAGTGCCATGAAATACTGATCATTAACTCATTAATTCATGACTAACTCCATCCTATTGATGCTACGTTTCCATTTCTTAAATTTGTCCAATACTTTAGTTTCTTAACCAAATGACAGATTGCATGTTAAGATTTCTGACATATCTCCACTTCCTCTCACTATCCACAAACTAAGCCAAAATATCCAGGATAAGAATGCTGCCATCTTGCACATTTGGAGCCATATTGGGGGATGGAGCCTCAATAGTGAGGTCTCGACGCTACATGCCCTCGAACAATTGTTAGTCAGCTGTCAAGAGAAACATCAGGTATGACAGCTGTCAATCCTGATATTTCTCTGCTGTATTTCATGTTTAGTTCTACTTAGCAAGGGTTTGCATGCTAACAAGTAAATATTACACAGAAAATGTTGCACTTGCTAAACCTGTATTCACACCATGTCAGGAGAACAGAAAGAAAAGGAAAACCAGGAAAATCACGATGGTAAACCCTACTATATTATATGAAGAGCCTTAATTAGCCACTTTTACTGTTAAGAGTCTGAAGCAGTTAATTGGAACCAGGTACGATGGTTCATAGCTCTTTTCTAATTAGTTTTATGGATTTTATTAAAGATTTTGTGGTTGGTTTTGGAGCCATTTTGCTAACTCGGTGAGCTAGGCTTGGCTAATATGAGGTCAATGAACTCTAGTTCAGAGTATCATTGTCAGTATTAGCATTACAGCATGTTGACATTAGCATTCAACTCGTAGAACCGATGAGCTTAAATACAACTTCACAAAATTGCTAGCATGAAGACGGTCACCCTAACCCGAACTTTATCCTTTGCCCTTCCTGTATTGGAGGTCCCTCCTTAACCTTTTATTTATTTCATCAGCTTTAATTCGTTTATATTAGGATATTAACTAATTATCATTTCAATTAGGAACATCTCAGGTGTTTTTAACACGCACTGTCCCACTGTGCCTGTGACCCTAAGAGTGCTGTGTTTTAACCCAAACCTAACTCTTATTTCAAACCAAAAAAGTCATCATGTCATCACAGTCTGATATCATTATGGATACTAACTCTTACCATGGATACTCTCTCGCTGTGCTTCCTGTCCCGCAGTTTGCTCCATCCCTTCACTGGTCTCATTCTCTTTGGTCTTCGATTTGGGTTTCTTTGCAACAGGTGGTGGCACCTTGCTCGTCGTCTTCAAAGACTCTGGTTCACTCACCACCTTTGTTACAGAGGAAACCTCCAGCTTATTCTGAACTTTTGCCTTGGCCTCTGGCACTGGTTTGGTCTCAATCACCACCTTCTTATTGCTCTTGGAGAAGATAAAACTTGCTGTGCTTGTGGGGGACTTAGGGGACCTTTGCAGGTCTATTGGTGATGTAGGTGGTTGCAGGCTGAGGCGAGATGCAGGGCTCTCTTTTGATCTGGCTGCTGTCCTCAGCCGGATGGCCTCCTGTAGTTTCATGGAAGGAGAGGCAGTCGTGGCAGGAGGAGACTTTTTCGTAGGGGAGGGTACTGGGGATGAAGATGCAGGTGGAGCCACAAGAGGCTGAAGCTTGGGTAAAGCTGGTTCTGAAGTGACATTGACAGGCGGAGAAGTGGATGTAGGAGAGGTCACTATGAGAGACCTTCTGATGGGTTTTTGAGGAGCTTCTCCATTGACAGATGAGGTTGGAACTTGATCACTGGGCTGCTGTTTTCTCATTGTGACCTCAGCCTTTGGATCCTCTTGAGCTTTAGGGGGCTCGGGACTGCTGTTGACCGACCGCAGTTTGACCATCTGTAGGAGGGAGGGGGTTACAAGGAGAGTGGATTCCTCCTGTACAACATTGGAAGGGGTCAGCTCTTGGCTTGGGGTTTCTGTGCTTACAGTACTAGACTGAAGCTTAATGGTGGTAAGACCCTGAACAGGTAAAGGTGGAGGTAAAGGAATGTTTACAGATGGAGAAGGAGCTTGTTCTTGGGGCTTTTCTGGTGAAGGAGAGGTTTCAAGACTTTGTGGGATTGAGACTTCAGATGGTGGGACCTCATGGGTTGTTGGACCAGCTAAAGCCTGAGGTTGCTCTATGGGAGGCAGCGGTGGGATACTCTCTGGGGGAGCGAGAGTACTGCTCAATGAAGCTTGATTAGTTTTAATTTCAGGTAGGATGTCTTCTTGTGGGAGATCAATATCTGACAAATGGGGCTTTAATTGTAGGGGTGGTGGAGGTGGAATACTTTGTGGTGGGTTGAGCTTGCAAACAAGTGTTTCTTCTACAGATGATTGAGAGACACTTTCTTGCGAAGACAAAAGAACAACCTTTTCAGTAGATGGAGTGAGTATCTCTGTCGAAGGGGGAACCTTGATAACCAGTGGAGGGGGGACATGTTTAACTAGAAGAGGAGGTGACTGTTTGGGTGGAGAAACCTCTTCAGGTGCTGAAGGAGAGACTTCCTTAGGTGGTGGTGGAGAGACATCCTTGGGTGGTGGGGGGGAGACTTCCTTAGGGGCTGGAGGAGAGACTTCCTTAGAGGGTGGCGGAGAGGATTCCTTAGGTGGTGGCGAAGAGGATTCTTTAGGTGGTGGCAGAGAGACTTCTTTAGGTGGTGGCGGAGAGACTTCCTTGGTTGGTGGCGGAGAGACTTCCTTGGGAGGTGGCGGAGATACTTCCTTAGGTGGTGGAGGAGAGACTTCCTTGGGTGGTGGTGGGGGAGAGACTTCCTTAGGTGGTGGAGGAGAGACTTCTTTAATTTGTGGTAGAGGAGAGAATTCTTTAGGTGGTGGGAGAAAGATCTCTCTTGGTGGCAGACAGGCCTTTTTGATTGTAGTAGGAGAGACTGATTTAATTGGCGGAGGGGGAGCTGTGTAGGGTGGTGGAGGAGGGATATTCAGTGGTGGAGGGGCAATCCCTTCGGATGAACTGGACTTCTGTGTTTCTGCCTCTGTCATCACCAATGTTACAACAGATGTAGTTGCAGAAGAGTCCCCATCAGGAGTGGACCTCTCTGGTGGCACCTGAACAGGTATGACAAACCCTGCATCACCAAACAATGGGGGAGGCAGGGGGAAATCTAGCTCATCGGGCCCTGAAACTCCCACTTGTGTTATTGGTGGAGGTGGAGGGGGCCAGGACGACTCTGGGGATACAACAGCTCGTACTGATGTGACAGAGGTAACTTCTGTGCTCTGTTTAGTGTGGGGTTGAGGTGAATGGTGTAACACTGCAGGTGAGGGGAATGGAGAAATGCGTGCTAATGAAATGGCAGGTAAGGTATCCATGTTGGTCTTTACCTCTGTTGTTTCTGTGGATTTGTCATTTGCTTCTGATTTCATTCTTTCTTCACGTTTCTCTACAGCCTTCACTAACATCACATTTATAATGTCACTTACTTTTGCTTTTTCAGTCACCTTGACGTTTCCTTTCAAATCAACATTCTGAGCCAGTCTTTCATTCATCTCTTTATGAATCTCTGCATTCAAAATCAAACTTTCTTGGACTTTCCTTCTCTCAATCGATCCATTAATGGACTCCACTGTTACAGCTGGATTCATGTGTTTTCTTTCTACCTCCAAGCTCTTCACAGACCCATCTGTAGATGCAGAGGGGGGCTGCCTCTGTTGTCTCCTGTCTTTTGGATTCTTCTTTATGATGGCATAAATGTTGTCAGGTGCCGGGGGTCCCAGCAGTAACTCAAAGCTTCGCTTGCTGTGAGCCCATACCTCTGGTGGAGGGGGTGGGGGTGCGTGGACTTTAGGTGGCGGAGGGATGTTAAAGAGTTCTCTCAACGTCCTAACAGAGGCACTGACGCCGACTGTGTCAACTGAGTCCATTTTATTGTGTTTAGTGTTTTCAGGATTCTCTGACTGTGTGAGAGGGGATGGAGCTGATCCAGCAGATGTGGACCCAGGAAACAACTTTTGAAGCTTTGCCAAGATGCCTCTCTTGTGCTTTGGAGATGAGCTGTGAGGCTGTTTAGGAAGCTGTGGGGATATTGCATCTTGGCTGGAGTAGCCACTAGACGGTGAGATTATTTTGCTAGGTTTATTCTCCTTTGGTGGATCCTGCTTCTCTTGTGAAGAATCAACCTTAACAGCTTCCTCTGCCTTTAGTGCCTGGGATCTAATGGGACTGAATGACCCTGTGGAGTCATCCAGAGAACTAGTGTCAGCATTGTAGCCAGGGCTGTCTATGATTCTGGGGGACATTGGTGAAGGTCCTGAGTTGTTTTTTTCATTTTCCTCAACTGTAGTGGAGATTCTGTGGAGGGAAGATTCACCTGGAATGACCCTAACCTCAGCCAGATCACGTGATCGCCGCTTCATCTTACTGTGGAGGGAATAGGAGCGGCTTGGAGGAGTAGGAGCCTTCTTGGACTTCATGACAGACAAGCTACGCACAAATGGTCCCTCTTTCTTGGCTGCTTCTGCTTTACCAGTGAGCACACCATTATAGTTGTATTTGAAAGTCTTGATGATTTTGCCCTCTTTAGCAGAAGCATCGCCGTCCTGCGACTTCTGCCGGGGGGTGCTGCTGCTGGAGATGGTTGAGGAGTCAGACACTAAGGTCTCTGAGGAGTCAGAGTTACTCCAACAAGAGCTGTCGGACAGATTGAGGGGGTTTTGGCGGGAGGCAGAGGTGATGGTTGAGCTTCTGGAGGAAGTGGTTCTGGATGAAGACGCTCTAGAGGAAGCACGGGAGGGGGCTGGGCTTGAGAGCAGCAGGCTGCTCTTGCTGACAGTGCGGAGGCTATTGCGACTCCGTCCACGGCTGATTTCTACCACCTCAATGGACGGTGGTAACACAGCATTGGGAATGATTTTGGACATGTAAGCAGCCTGGGGTGACATGGACATGACAGGGCTAGGTGGCTCCGGCTGGAGGCTGTTGGCAGTGGTCATCCATGGAACAGCCAGTGACCGCGGCCTCTGTCCATCTGACAAGTTAGGACCCAGGCGGTGCAACAGGGCCAGGTCATCCCTATGTCCAGCATGGGTGGCATTGAGTTGCTTGATTTGGTCCTTGTTTAGGGGATGAATGATCTTTTTGTCTTGAAGGCCGGCCCTGGCTCCCTTTTGTGACTCTGAGGTTTGCTGTGGGCCATCAGTGGTGGGGCTGTCATCAGTCTCACCATTATAAAGCGGTTCTTCATCTAACTTTTGAGCCAGTGTCCAGCCCACTCTGTCCAACCCTAACAGAAGAAAGCAGGACTAATTAGCACAAGTTCATATTACAATTATGGGAAGAGACAATAGTCACATGGCGAGTCCAGCTCAGGGTGATAAGCTCACATTCTACTCACTGTTTGTTTTAAGCACCTTAGCATTGGACTGAGCATTTAGCATTAGATTACAAGCTTACTTCCAAGTGTAAATAGTTTTGCCCCCAGAGGTGCATTGATATTTTATTATAAAAAAATAAAAATGGCCATGTGTGAATATGGTCTATGGCCATGCAAAATTAATTCTTTCATTTTCTAAGTATAAGACAGTAACATTAACAACATGAAATGTGTGAACATAGCACATGCAATTGACAGAGTTAGTCAAGGCAAAATAGTAATGATACATTTGAAAAGGGAGCTACATACCCATCTCTCTCTGGACATGCTGTGGGATACCCACAACAGTCTTCCTGTGTCGTCTCCTTCTCGTCTTTTCTGACTTCAATGGTCTGAATGTTGATCCTGGTACGACAGATGCATGAGAGAAAAGAGAGAAAAGTTGATTCTTTGATCCTTAACACAAATAAGATTTAAACTCAATCCAATCTGTACATGTCAGCTGTTAATTGTTTGTGTGCGCATCACTATATATTTTATAGTAACCAAAAGGAGTTCTGGCGCTGAAGTTACCTTGTCTGGTGAGTCCAGAGCGGGATGATCTTGTGGACACAGATGATTGTACTGAGACAATGGAGGATGTGTCTGCAATGGTGCTGTCTGTCATAAACCCTCCACCCTCCCCGTCTGTTTGGACCGTCATTGTCGACTTGCAAAACGAGAGAAAAATCATTTTCACATTCACTTTTAGTACATTTTCATTATAAAAGCTAGAAAACAGCAAATATTTGGTGTAACTTACAATTGTGCTTTCATTATCCTGGTACTCCACTCCGTAATTGGTTTCTGCAAGGAGAGGCCCATTAAACTCAGATTTACAATGACATTTCAAATTCTTAACATACTTTGTTTCCTGTATGATGAGGTTGCTTGCTCTTGATCAATATGCAGATCATTATCAACATGTTGGCATGGGACAGCTCTGATTTAGTGCTGAGAGGTAAAGACTATAATGATGGTGTTTTTGTACCCTCGTGCTGCATCATTTTCAACCCCTCCAGGGCCTCAGTGTGAAGATCCTCCAGGTACTTGGGTCTGCTGGCCTCGATGAACACATTCTCCTGGAGCAGTGGTGGCGCCGGGGTCTTGTCATCGTCATCTCGCTTTGGTACAGCTTCAAGTAAAGAGAGGAGGAGAGGGGATCAGCCTGGATCAACTCAAATCTCTGTGTTAGTGTAACAGCAGATAAGGGGGGTCCGTCCATATGGACAGGATGAGAGCATTCAGGTGTCTGCCAGGGTGATTTAAGCTCTTGAACAGTAAATAAGTTTGTGAGTGCAATCGCAAATTAAAAGGCTGAAGTCCAGTTCCACTCATGCAGGATTAAGCTCCAAGGACTCTGACAATGACAAAGAAGGGATTATCAAGTCAGAAATCTACCCTCTGCAAGTTTTTCTAGCCTATTTAATAAGATAGTGAAAAGGATGCTAATGAAATTGCTGTCACATCTTGTTTACTTCCGACTACATCAGTCAAAGCTTTTGTTGACTAATTATAAAATACCTGAAAAAACAGGTCATGAACTGAGGGCACCATCCAGAATTATTCTTCATTAGTAGTTGAGTCCTCCTCAAACAGTTTTACAATGTACTGTCACTTTTTATTGTTTGTGTGCTGAAGTCTTCCCCGTGCTGGAATTTGCTAAAGATGAAGTGATTCTATGAATGTTGTTGTCATGAGATCAGCACCCATAACTCCCTTGAATGTCAGCTCAGTATGCTACAGTAAAAATGATCAGATTATCAAAATGATCTGGCAGGACAGATACTGTTAGTCCCAGGCTGACAGATGCCAACAACTGCTGTAGATTACCTGAGGATGTAGAAGAAGACATGTTTAACTTGGTCCACCCCTTATGACAGCTACAGGGCACCGGTTGCTTGTTTATTCACATTTTATTAATACTGAACCTGATCGCGTTTTCAGATCACGCCAAATTTGACCCTGTACTTCCCTTGACCACTCACAGTAAACCTGCCGATAGGTCGATAAGAAGAACAGCTCGAGAGATCGAGACTTTCCACAGACAGACAGATGCTTGCAGAATTAGAAGGTAGATTAAGGTAAAACTGATTTGAATAAAAAATAAATACAAAAACTTCAGAGCACTGGAAATGTGATGAGATTTTTTTTTTTTTTTAATTCAAATCAGACTATCACAACTCTTTAATACATGTGGTACCCTCACGGCTCCAGGGCACCATCTGGGATCACTGGGCTAACAACCTGCTAAGACACTTTTATGTAATGGGGACAGATGCTCTACATTTAGCCACCGACCGTACTCTACTGTCCACACTGCTGCTGTAAGACCACACTGGAATTAGCCTCGACAGCCACGTGCTCAGTGATCGCTACCAATTGTTACCACTTGTCTGTTCTGTAACACGCTACATGTGCTCTGCCGTTAAATAATCAATTATCTATAATGAGGCAAAATACAGGTTACTTGTTTTCCTGGCAGTGATTTAACAGGACCAAGACTCACAAGTTTTATAAGCAGAGTAAATATAACACACTGACAGGAGTTTTTATGATCCACAATTAATGCCCACACTTTAATTAGTTTATTGCCTGTTGATCCACCCTGAGCTGGTAATACCTGACTGGCGGAAACAGAAACGTCAACAATCAGAGCATGAGCAATCGGTCCAAGCCATGAACCAATCAGATCTATTGTCTCAAAATTACAAACTACAAGTGCCATGTGCTGCCGTCACTCACCTTTCCTCCTGAAGACAGCTAGAAAGCAGTCAATTTTAGCCGAGTCATTCGTCAGAAGCACCACCATGTTGTTTCTTATATCTTGTAAAAGTGCATCAAAACTAAATCCAAGTTATGTCAAGAAAGAACTAAAAATTTGATCTAAGAAGGTGCAGTCCGCAGTGTGTGAGTTAAATAAACATCCTGGGGGGATCAGATGAAGCCAGGATGATAATCTCACTTGTTTTCGATGAAGTTGTTGTTATTGTCAGTTCAGCACTATGAGCAGCAGTGAAGGTCTCCACAGCCAATGGCCAATCAGAGCTCAGACACTAATCCGCAGCAGCCTAATTCTTGCCATCCCTCTCTCTCTCTCCCCCACGTCACTGCTCAATGAGATACCCAGCATCCCCACTGTGGCTCCCCATCTGCAGGCATACTCCCCCTGGATTGGTCAGCGGGGACGCAGATCACACTATGGTCACACATGTAAACATTAGGAGCGAAGAGAAAGCTGTTGCCAGGGATTTGAGGAATATGAGGGTTGTCACGGTTGGCTCCCCCACAGCTTTAGCACTGTAAATAAACAACACTTACACACGCACTACACTGCTTTAGACCACACCACAGTTACAGAGCCCGAGCAACACAGCATAACATTTCTATTTTATTTTATTTTATTCTTGCATTAAGCATTCTTTCTTATTTCATTGTACAGTAAATCATATCATTTCTATTTTATTTATTTTACTCTTTGTAGCAGTTCACGTTCTGTCTCCTTTTATTTTACAGTTGTTTGGTCACTGGGGTTGTTTTTAAATGTGCTTATAAAGAAACTTGATTTCATAAAGAGACACATAACTTTATTGTCGGGCCACAAGGGGGAGTAAGTGAATTAGAATGAAATCCCAAAACAAGATTCAAAAAATGTTTTAAGAAGAGGCCTGCAGCTCCACCGCACATGGTCACACATGTGAAAAATGTTCCTTGATGTTTGCAGCAATGTGACATTAAAATGCTACCATGCAACGAGAGTAGAAGTTGGTAGATCTTAAATTCCTCATTTAATCAAGACCTGATATCCAGACCTGAAATTTTCAATCTATAGAGGTTGTTCAAAACCTGTTTTTCAGACAAATTTCTTTTTTACTTATTTTTAATCTCCATATAAGACACCTCAAACTAACAAGCTGCTGAGTGGTTCATTTACTTCCTGGTGTGCGGAGTGGACACAATACGGAATGTGTGACATCTGAACAAATGGGAAACATTCCCATGGTCATGATCCTGCCGACTGAGTCAGACAACAGCAATGTTGACAAATAAGAGAAGAGAAATTAGTCGCATGTGTTGCTAGTACATAGTAACAAGAAGGAACAGATTATTGCTTACACAGACGTCCCTGCTGCTGTGGTTCAGCCTGCAGATGTAAACAGAAAGTTGATATGCATGTGTAGGGTAGAGTCAGTCTGGGACAACACATAATCTAGTTACCATGACAGCACACACACACACACACACACGCATACACTTGACTGCAGAGGCCCAGTGATGGGTGGGGCATGACAGCACGTTAATGAGGGGCTCATATTATCGCTGCTCCTGTGACCACATTGTAATTGTGACATATTAAAAAGATGCCATCTGTCACGGCCGGATTGTGCAGAAGCTGGCGATATTAACACACTGGTTGTGATTACGTATGAGCCCCAAACTGATGTTTACATCTAGGATTTGGATAAAGACACTAAACCTAATGTATGCAACACTGCACGACCAGTGTGTTCAAGTTTTGGACATCTGAAAAAACAATATGTAAAAAAGGAAATTAGCTCGAGGGGGAAGCATGATTAATTTTTTAACATGTAAATAACCGGATTTCGAGTAGACTATTTTAAATAAGCAAACATCTGTTGTTTTGATAAACTATGGAAGCTCTGGAAACAGAGAGAGAGGAGTGTTCGGGAAATATTTTGCCTCAGCAACTAAAGTAGACAAATTACAACCAGTAAAACAGTGTTTATCATGCGTAACCATGATGATACTTAAGTTGTAGCTGTAACTACTGGCTTTAGATTAGCAACACTGTCATTTTTACAGTAAGGTAACATTTTTACAAAGATCTGTAATTTAAGCTTTTATTTTATGAACCCGCAAATGAGGAAATACATAGAACTGCCAATAAAGTGGAGATGGTAGATCAGGGGCACAGAGTCAAGAACTGGCCATCAAAAATGAAAAACACCCTCTAAGTAATTTATCCACAAATTATCTATTTTTCCATTTCATAGTGATCATTTCATTATTTAACAAGGCTGCATAATCAGATAATAATCCTTCATAATTATTTTTCTGCTTTCTCATTTAACATTTAACAAGCTGCAACTCCACACTTTATCTCTGACCAGAGTTTGATTAGAAGTTATGAAAATGTTATTACATAATGTTCTCAGTGGTGTTTTTAAGATCTCTGCACTGTCAGGATTAAAGTTTGGCCACAGATTTGACCCTTTGCTGGAAGTCTTCCCTGCAGTCTCTCTCCCTTTCACACAAAATACTGTCCTGTCTAATAATAAAGACATAAAAAATAAGACTGTTTTAATGCAGACACACTAGAACTATAACACTTGTATGCACCAAATGAGCATTTAAGAGCAGGTTTTAAAATATAAATATATATATTGTGTATCACAACATAGTCTACAAAAAAATTCAACATTATTTGTAGG